ACTGTAGGAGTAGAAGAGCTGTCACCAGTAGTGTTAGTGGTTGCAGTGTTCGTGCAGGTAGCGATGGTGGTGCTCAGAGACAGTGCTGGAGTAGCAGCATTGGCGGTAGCAGCAGTTTTGTTTGTTGTCGTAGTAGTGGTACTCGTAGTTGTAGTCGTCGTCGTGTACGGTCAGTTGTAGTCATCGTCATAGTATTGGTCCTCGTATTATTCCGTGTACAGTCGCAAGATGTGATTTCAGTACTTGTGGTCGGTTGCTTGGCCCGGACTTCGCGTATGCAAGCCGGGGGGCACTCGGAAGGAATTACATCGCTGCTGAAAGACTTGGCTCGTCCTCCCATCTTCGGGATTGCGAGTACTATGCTGATGCTGATTAATGGCTTTATGGCTAATACGGCTAGGCTTCTCTCAGTATGGCTGCAAGTAGCATTGTAGCGTTGCTACTGACATGTTCTTCCTGTCTCAGCCCAAGGAGTGCTTGTGTTCTGCCTTTGCGGGGCGCAGCTCTTCACGCAGACCAATGTCTCGCACTTGCCTCAGTGTATTGTGTTTTCGGTCTTCTAAGACCTGCATGTAGGCTTTTGGCGGCAACCCTAAACCCTAAACCCTAAACCCTAAACCCTACTGTGTTCATGCAATCGAGTTGCCAGGAGTCGCAGCCTTCCAATAGAGCCGACCTCCGGGGTACACCAATACATACATCAGAGACCCGTTCACTCTATATGGGTGGTTGTCAAAATTAGGGTCCCTTTTTGGGTCCTTATTATAATACGGCACCTATTATTTAGGGTGCCCCAAAAGGGACCATAATTTTGACAACTACCCATATAGGGACGTGCCGTACTCGCAGAGGGCCTTTCTGACTTCTGAAGCGCATTGTCTGCTCGGCACTGATGGCTAGAGTCCGACCGTCTGAAATTGTTCTTTCATTTGTCAGGCGCCTAGTCGAGTTTCCCTTTTCCAACCTCGGACCCTAAACCCTAAACCCTAAACCGGCCGAGGCAGGAGCTAATGAAGCCTTTGGAGGTCTTGCCGCGCTCTGAGTTTGTCCGGTGTGGGAGGTTGTTAGTTTGGGTTTAGGGTTTCCTGTTTAAGCATGTTCCTGCTGTGTGTTCCGCCCGCTGCATCTCAATCTCGCCGGAGAAGGCCATGCAGCAATCTCGAAACTCGAAGTGGAATGAGAACCACGACCGGCATTGCCAAGGGACTCCTTGCAGGACCCGCCAAACCCCAGACTGCTAAAATCATGACGGGACTAAAATTTTGGGCAGGAACTAGACTAGAGCTACCCTGATTCCACGAAGTATACCGTGCTGTTCGCTCAGAGGGAATAGATAAAGGGCACTCCCGTCCAGCTTCAGCTGCAAGACGCAATGTCTCGGTCCCTTGGCCTCTTTTGCCTCACTACGGTCCACCTTGAGGGCTCCTTTGCCTCATTGATCCCTCGAGGCCCTGGGACTCAGATGTGTTTCAGCTGATGGCGGACGAAGTCGCAGCTGCCTCAGTCAAGTCGTTGCATCTATGGGCTGGTTTTGAATGTTAGGAGGTACCTCAGGACATTTTGAGGCCTCAGAGATTGCCGAGCCGACAGACGGTAGGTCTAGACCCGCACACGCATGAAAACTCGAGCCCTTCACCCTCAGATTCAACCCTGGAGCAAGCTTTAACCATGAGCCCTAAACATCTAAACCTCCGACTCTGCCTCTAAACCCTAAACCCTCAGCCTCTAAACCCTCAACCCTCAACCGAAACTAAGTGAGGGGTCGCTGACCTCGATCTTGTCATATGGCATTGTCTAGGTCTAGGTTATGTTACAGTAGATGGAAGTATTGCATGTTGCTATGTTATATTCTGTTTTCATGTTACATTGTGTTGTGGTGTCCTCAATGTATATCTTATGTGTTCTCATAGTTTGACATCTGACCAATTGTCACGTTATACTATATAAGACGTTGTCACATTATGTTGCTTACTTCTCAAATCATGGTATAGCACAGTATCTAGAATCTAGTATGTTGTTCTGTCCTGTTAATCTTTTCTGGTGCTATATGAGTTTGTATCATATAATAGAACTATACCAGTTCATATCAAATTATGTCCGGTCATGGGTTATGTTAGGTTGTACAAACATTGGGTTACGTTGGAAAATAACAGGACATGCTGCATCGTGCTTATATTGTGTTGAGCAATGCCATGCTGCACCATATTGTAGTTTGCACTAGTTTGCCATATCATGGTATATTGAGTTTTGCTTTGGTTTATTATATGTCAGTATGAGTTGTTTAAATACCTAAGGTTATGTGAGGCTGTAAGGTCTCATATATGTTTTGTTGGGTTATGTTGGGTTGTTACATGTTGAGAAAATATATCATACAATATCCATCCATACCTTATCATGCTATGTTGTATCATGCTATTTGTCACTGTATTAGCTAGCCTGATCTTATATTATCTTATGCTGTATTATACCATCTAATACGTTATTGCACTTTCTGATGCTACGATATCTTTCATGTTGCTTCTTTTTATCATGCAATGACATGTTTTATTATAGCACGCTGAACTATGTTACGTTTCATTGTGCTACATCTTGCTTGTATTCCATTGTCATGTGCTTTCGTCAGGTAGCATGCTTGCTACCTTGTTTGTCTTATCCTACTTATCGTACCTTACTGTACCCTTTCTAGTCACGAAATGTTGCGAGTCGAGTTGTCTAGCGTGTTGTATTGCATTTACAGCTTTTTCCTGTACCATGCTTTACTAGGCCCTATAAACCCTAAAGGCCGCAAGATTTAGCATTCCGGGTTGAGGGTGCAAGCGGCTGATGTTGGGCACAGCTCACATAAGCGTCGAAAGTGGTGACACCGGCAAGTTATAGGAGTAAAAGCCGCAGACCGTGAAGTACTAGTAGCAGTTGCAATCATGAGAACCGAGCCTCCAAGTATATCTGTGGCCTTTGAATTTCGGACCATGTGAGGTTTGAGGTCGTGAGTTTTGAATGTACCGGCTTGCGCAACCGTCGGCCACACTACACGAATCACCTTAGAAGGGGCTGTGATCGAGATCAATCGACACCAGATCATGTGCGCAGCATACAACCCCAAGGTTGCGGGCAGTAGGCAACAGCCCCGGCTCGCGAGAGGTTTGCAGCGTGCTCTTGTTGGCAAGGTTGTTTAAACTCGGAGCCAGTGCTTCCCTATTTCTACTGACCTTCACCACGAGCTGCGGCATCAATGAAGTCCCATGACATCCGTGACAGTCCCATGCACACTGAGCTCAGGAGAACGTCCTACCAATCTGGCCATTGGTGCCTTCGCTTTTCATGCCTGGTCCCAGGGCTGTTTTTGCTTCTGGAAAGTGTTGGCGCCAAGCCCTGTCTGTGTGTACATCGACATTCATGCGCACACACATGTATACGTAATTGTATAAACATATATGCACACTCATAGATCTGTACATGTGTGTAGATATATATATATATGTAGATACATATATATAATTATACATATGTATATATATATATACATATATTTATAGATATGCATATTCATATATGCATGTATGCATATGCATGCATGCCGGCATGCTTTCTCTACCCGAGACCTGAGGACGCTGGGTACAGGGCTTCTGGCGCGGCGAGGCCAGGAAGGATTCTGACCTTCGGGTTTTCAGGTTTAGGGGTTGCTGAAGTGTTTGGGTGAGTGCTGCAGCCAGTAGTGCTGCAGATTTGCCTGGCCCTCAGTTTTCTCTCCTTTCAGGGGTACCCGGCAGTTGCAATAGGCCTGGATGCAAAAAGGGGTTGCTGAAGGGGCGATGTGCGCTGCATAAACTGCGAACAATGAGCAAGAGGTTGCGGGTTTAGCTTTCGGCTCTGGGGTTTGTTTGGATGCCCATGGGAAAGTACATTAGCAAGGCAACGGTGCCGCACGAACTGCTGTAATGCAGTGTCTGCAATTGCCATCAGGTTTTCTTTGTGAGGCTGCTCGTGTCGATATTGCTGTTATGAGCAACTTCTCAGTATAACAAAACAAAGGAAAGGCCCTCTTTCAGCCTCAAGAGCCTAATTAGGCCTAATGATGTTGAGCACGGTGTTGGTAGAGTCCGCCGTGAAATCGGGTGCCTGGAAACAGGTTTCAGGAGGCACAGATACACATGTGCATGCACATACGAACGAACACAGGATATTTCTACTGTTTCCGTTGCAGAGAAATTGCTGCAGATATTCGCGTTACGGGCGCATTGTCGGTTGGGTTTTCGTTGTACACCGTTGTACATGCAATCATGTATGCAAACAAGCATACAAACGTACACATATCTATACATCTACTGCATGGCTTTGTTTCACACGGGTTTGTTGAAAGTTTTCTAGGTAAGCGCGAAGCCCATTCTACACACAAATGCCTGGGTATTGTGCAGTTGTGGCCGACCGTTCTGACGTCGAGATCACATCCTTTAGCCTGCCGCCGCGTGGCCGGAAGATTTTGAGAATATTTTCAGAGGCTGAGGTTTTTTTCCCGAGTTGATGCTGCGTGGCTTAGAGCTAAAAGAGGCGTTGTTCGAGGTCCTGTGGCCCTAGCTGGTGTTCCTGGCACCTATGAAGTTTTGGGATGGAAGCCGTTCGTTCGGGCCTTCTGTTCTTAGCCGTTCTGAAACTAGTACTGTCGAAGCCTGGGCAGCCCTTGGAGTCTAAACAGTCAGCGTCCTACTTTCAGGGTCAGGGGACTTGGTAAGTCGGTCGGTTATATCCCCGCTTGCAAGTCCTACAACCCGGTGAGTACTACGTAGTTTTTAAACTCTTTTCCGGGCTAGCACATGACCACCTCAGGGCTTGAGCTTCACCGGGCGAGGCGCTCTCTGAAGCTGCTTCTGCAATTCTGTAGCTCGCTCGACGACATTTTCGAGGCTCAAATTCGCACGGGTCCTGAAATCGAACCCAACAGTTAAGGTTTGGGGTGTTCTCATTCGAAGGCGGCATGACCTTTCCCAGCCAGCATGTCCAAGGTCCCTGAGCTTCGGGCACTTGGGAAGCACCTACATCATGAACAAGCAGGGGCCTCGGCTATGTCCGTACCAGAACTGGTACTACTTGCGCCGTTCTCGCTCTCTTTGTCTCTCTCTCTCTCTCTTCTTTCTGTCTGTCTCTCTGCCGCAGAGAAAACGGCTTTTCTATCCACCCTGTCGATGTGTCCTTTGTTTTTTGCTTTTTGTCCATATGGGCTCTGGGAAAGACTGCAACCTCAGGAGCACAGGTTTGAGGAGTTTAGGCTTGAAGCCTTAAAGCCTAGACCCTAGGGCCTAGGGCAGAGTGCTAGCCGGGTGGGAGGCACAACGTCCTACTTGTACTGGCCACAGCCCCTGAGCATGAAGAACACCAAGGATGCGGCCGTCGCGTGGATCTGATTTCGATCTCGTCGTCAGCTTAGTCATTAGTCGCGGGCGTCAGGATTTGTTTATTATACGTTTTAGGTGATAGGGTTGGTTTTTAAACCTTTCCGTTCAAGTTTTGTAGATTTCAGGGTTTCCCTGTAGGTTTAGTAATGTTCGTCTGGGAGTTTGCAGCTAGCTTCAGTTTCGGGTTTCGGGCGTCGTTCAGGGCGTGGGGTGGTTTGGTCAGATTCTAGATGTGTGCATATGTACGTTTATTACAACAAGTAGAGATTAAAGCACACACACACACACACACATATATATATATATATATATACATGTCTACATACATACATACATACATGCATGCATGCATACATACATACATACATACATACAGGCATACAGACATACAGATATCTACGCACACATAACTTAACACTATGTTTTAACATACGATAGTTTAATAAACATAGCTATACGTATATGTTTACACATCTATTGTATATCGGGGCTCAGGGGTGGTCCTGTCCTCGGTTTGTTCGTGGCTTTGTGTTGCGAGGTCTGGAATCAGAAACCCGTGGCAGAATATCCGCGACCTGAAGCATCAGCACGAACACAGCTGTCTACAAAGGCTTGGCAACTGCCTTTCTGCAAGTCTGCATGCAACAGCACGCAAGCCTTTGCAGAGGGAGGCAGTGTAAGCCTCTAAACCCTAACCCTACCAAACCCTGAACCCAATTCCGTCGTAATTTACTCGTAACATTGCCAGTGTTCCAAAGCAGACCTCGCTGTGAGCATAGATCTCTGCAATGCGAGAGGGAAAAAATCCTAAACCCACCGATTTTATCCTAGCAATACTGCCCTCCCAGGCTGCCGCCGCCCCCGTGTGCTCCTTGGCCACCTCCGCTGCCTTGGTGGCCCTCGGTCTTCAGCAGGCGAAGTCTTTTGAATAGGTTTAGGGTTTAGGGTACCTAAGTCCTTTTGTGGTTTTTCTTCAGGTATCCCCTTGGGTTTTTCTTATATTTTTGAGGTCTATGGTTTAGGGTTTAGGGTTGGGGAACAGGGTTACCTATGGCCCGGGTATTACAGGGTTGCTCTGAGGTCTTTAGGTTTGGGGTTGGGGTTTGGGGCTCGAGCTTCGGGTCTTTGCAGTGCATTTTCGGGATGTTCGGGGGATAGGAAGTGAAGCAGGGGAGGTCCTTTTGGGTTGAGGGCTGCGGGGTCTTACTTGGCGACTCGGCGGAAATAGTAGAATAGTCTACTTCGTCCGTTCGAACCGACAACACCCCTGCATAACCCGTCTTCCACTCCTGAAAACCGTCGCTATATACACAGGTGTCTCTGCGTCTGTGCAATGAGATGTATGTACATAATATAACTATGTAGCGAAGCTCAGTAAACCTACGCATATCTAGGCATTTACACTGAAAGTTAAAAGCCCATACAAAATCCGCTTCTCCAAGACCGCAGGTGAGAAGCTCAGTTCGGTTCTCAGAGCATCTCAGAACTCTGTCTCTGCATGGGTGGGTGGGTGGGTGGGTGGGTGGGTTTTGTATAGCTTCTTGCAGGATTCAGAGTTTTGGGGGATGGGCTTTCAGGGCCTGGGCGGCTCCATGGAATAAAGGATTCGGGGTTGAAGGTTAGAGTGCTTGGAGTCTAGGCCCCTTTCAGCCCTCAGTCCTAAACCCTGCTGCAGTCTTAGTCTTCGTCTTAGGGCTGCGGCTTCGGGCGCGAACGAGGGGTGTATCAGCTGGCATACTAAGTTGAGCCTGGTCTCAGAACTATGTACTTGTGGCATACTTAGAGGCTCAGGCTCTGTAGACTCAACCCCTGGCCGCCGAGGACTTTGCTCCGCTTCAGATTCCGGCACGGCACTTAGGGCTGGTCTGAGCTCACACGCCCCTCTGAGGTTTCGCAGTCTTTGAAGTCAACTTCGCAGAAGTCAGAAGCTCCTTGAACCTACTAAGCCTGCTAAGCTCATAGCGGGAGGACATGGGCAGCTTCAGTGGCAGCACGACCTCAGGATGTGAACGGAAAAATGTGAGCAAGAATCCCCAACCCAAAGCCCTGTACCCTGCACCGCATTGCTGGTTCAAGTTGGCATTGTTGTGGTGACCCCTTTCTCCCCTACCAGCAGGACAGCAATGGCTCTTATAGCGATTTTGGCGAACATGTTAGCAGCCATGATAAAAGGCATCCTTGGATAATCAGCCTCGCGAAAATGCCTGGAGAATTGGCTAGGGTGGCCAGCTCGTATGTGGTCAGAGGGAGTGTTCTTCTCGGTTTCTATCGCAACCGCACAGATGAGTCATTCCAAGTTTGCTGCCGCGCATTACTGCTAGTGCGTCGTGCGTGCATGGCTGTATGTATGAATGAGAGAGAGAGTGTGTGTGTGTGTGTGCATGTAGGTACGTGCGTACGTAGGTAGGTAGGTCTGTATGCATACATGCATGCATGAATGTACGAAAACGTGTGTGTGTGTGTGTGTACGTTTTATGTTTGTTTGTCAGTCAGTATGTATGCATGTATGCATGCATGCATGTATGTATGTATGTAGTCGGGTGCATAGATAGATGGACAGACAGACTGATAGACAGGACAGGTTGGACGGATTGGCTAGACTAGCTGAGATTAGACTTAGATCCAGATTTAGACTTCGACGTAGCTTTCGAAATCAGGTAGGTTTTGCTAGGTTACATTAGATCAAACAGACTAGGGTAGGTTCGGTTAGGCTAGGTGACTTTATGTGAGATCAGTATAGATTAGGTATGTACGGACCACTCAGATCCAATCAACAGTACTTTTGCAGTACGCATCAGTACTACGTACACTTTGCCTATTCTTCGCACTGTTTTAGGTCTAAGATACTCTAAGTTCCCTAAGCCCAGGAAAACGGAACCCGAACCCCCTTGGCCCAAAACCGAAACGACACGATTTTTCCGAGAAGTGCGGACGCGGCCAAGGCCCTGCAGTTCCCTGCGAGTCTGGCCGCCTTCATGGGCCCCTGGCCTAGAGCCATCACCCAGGGAACCCAATACACCTTAATCAAGGAATATACCTTAAATTATAGTCGCCCTAGTATTACGATTTAAAGTATATTCCTCCTACTCAAGGAATATACCTTGAAGTATAGGGGCCCTAGTATTACGATTTAAGATACCAGCTTTCTATGGAGCCCTGACTCAGACCTAGTTCGCAGGCCCCAAACCCCGGCGAAGAGTCTCTAGCCCAGTCTTGCTTGCAGCTTTGTTAAGCTAGTAGTTGACATGCACCCAAGGGCCCAAGCCGTAGCGCACCAACCTCAATAATTGTTAGCGCTTTGCGTCGTCTGCTTCGGCGGCCGGGAGGAGAGGAAGAGCTCAGCTGTTGTGTCTTCAGCCCCCAACCCGGTGTGCAAAACAAGCAAGGAGCCGAGAGGCAGCAGGCGGTGTGGGGCGAACGGAGGGGGGTAACTTTTGGGGAGGGGGGATGGAGAGGAAGGAGAGTATGGGGGTCCATCCTGTGGGAAATTCTGACTGCTTCCGGACAGGGGGTCGAGGCGAATGATGCTTGAACGTTGAGCGTTTGGAAAGATAGTAGGCAAGTTTGGAGCCACAGTCGCAAGCATCAGAGACTGGTCACGGGAATGGCATGCTGCTGGTGCTAGCTGCTAGCTGCCGGTTTGCGAGAGCTTCCTGCACTTGCGACAGATCTGAGGCTACTCCATTCCCATCCAGCACGAGGTCCGGGTATGCGTTGATGTTCATTTGCAGGCTGCAAGCCCTGTATGAACACTACTATACTCATCATAGACCCTCATCCCTAAGCAAAAGTCTGCTCAACTTAGTGGTGCCCGGTGGGCTGTGTCGACTTCTAGCGATCTGAGTCGCTTCGCCTCTTGTAGCAAGCATCTTGTCCTAACCAAACGTAAGTTCATTCCGAAATACATTCCTCAGCCACCGATAAGGCCCACATGCACCAAGCCTAGACCCGACACTCGGGCCGGGGACCTTATGTAAGCTAGCTTTCAAGCCACAGTGAGAGTCGAGTCTGGGAGGACCGTGGGACTTGGCAGACAGGTTGCAAGCAAGCCTATGAACATACACATGGGAGTTTCCGAAAATTAGGGGTACCTTATTTTGGGGTCCTTATATTAAGGATCCTATTATTTAGGGTACTATATTAGGGTCCCTATTTTCAGAAACCCCCACATGATGAGCCGAACTAGAGCAAGGCGAGACTGTCTTGCTGAGCTTCCGGATCCCCAAAACGCTGCATGCAAAGCAGTTCCGAACCCTCGTAATTAAAAAAACTGAACTGTTCCCCTAACCCTCCAGGTACCTACTATATAGGGTACTAGAGCCCCTAGGGCCCTATACAGTAGGTGCCTGGAGGGTTAGGGTTCAGTCTCCTGAGTCAGAACTTTGGCTCAGCTGGCAGGATCCGCTTCTCACCCTATCGTCGAAATTGGAAGCCAGGTCCTGGGCAAGCCTTGGGACATAGATTGCTTAGGGTTCTGGATGTGTTGTTTTGGTGATTCTGTGGTTGGGTGAGCACAGCGCTCACTGGCAGATTCGGATGCCTGGCAAGCATTTCAGGTGTGTTTGTGTGTTGACGACTTTTGCAGCTGTTGGCATTATCGAACCCGCTTGCACTGTTTTACTCACATGTTGCTGACCTTGGCTACTCAGATTACAGGCCAGTGCTATATACTGGCTTCTATGCTCGTCTGCAAGCTTCCATCACGTGTTCAAAAATTACTTGCAGATGCTCGAAGCGTGCGGCAAGACTGCCCATTTCGCTTCCCCAGGCGATGCTGTACATGTAGAATTATGAGAAACTCGGGTAGCTGTTCCTTCTATTCTTCTGGTGGCAGACTCGGCACTCTCCCGAAAGAACAGCCTAGGTGACCAAGTGACATCACGTAGAACCTTCAAGAGGTACTTAAAGGATCATGGGACTTAGTAAGTAGGGTTACAACTAAGGTAACTATAATTATAGCCCCAATTAGGGGACTTATACCTATACTTACTAAGTCCCATGATCCTCCAAGTAGTACGAGTAGCTGAGAAAGTCAGGTATGGCCTTGCTCTGGGCCAACTTGCACTGCCGTACCCATAGGCCCCATCGTAGTTCCTTTTGGGGGTTTCATATTTAGACTATAAAACCCTAAACCCTAAACCCATAGTAGTTCCTTTTTTGGGTTTCATATTTTTAATCTGGGGGGTTAGGGAATCCTACAAGGCAATCCCCAAAAGGAACTACTATGGGGCCTATGGGTAACGACCCAGAGCCTGAAGTCGCTCCTGCACTGCCGCAGCTCCAGGTTCTTGCGGAGCCCACGGTTCAAGCGAACATCCGAGAAACATGCAGTTTAGGGTATAGGGTTTAGGGTCAACAAGCCGAAGTACCTAAACTAAAAAACCCTGCGCCCGAAGCCTGTCACTCTAAACTTTAAACCATTACATGGGTAGTTCTCTAAATTGGGTCCCTTTTTAGGTCCCCAGTATAGTACGGCACGCTTATAAAACAGGATCCCAAAAGGGACCCTAATTTAGAAAACTACCCACATCCCAAAGCCCTAAGACCCCGAAGCCCTACACCTTCGACGCCCGAAGAACACAAGACCCTTAGGCCCTAAAAAGCCCCACGCGTCAATACTCCATAAAACCTGAGCCCTGAAGCCCAGAAGCCTTAAACTGTGGCCGTAAACACCATCACCCAAAACCCCCCAACACCAAACACTTTAGGATCACCCTTAATGGTAGCTGTGTCCGCTAGCTCTCCATGGCTGTGTGCCGCCACGGATCCTTTGCGGAGCGCTGCGCGGCGCTCGATGTATGGCCGCTGATGGAGCCCGGCGTTGTTTTCGGTTTTTTGTTTTAATATGGCCCAAAGGGTCCAAGTACCATTATAGTAGGTACTTAGTAGGTATTTGGGCCCCCAAAGTATATACTATACTAGTACTTGGACCCTTTGGGTGGTCTTGGAAGGGAGTGAACTTGTTGTTCGGAAAAGGCCTTTGAAAACTTCAAGGTTCAGAGTTCTAGATGTACTGGGGGTTCGGCTGTAGCGGTTTGAGGAGAGAGGGAGAGAGAGCGGCATTCGGGTGTTGAAAGCTGGCAAGCTCGTTGCACTTGATCGCGCGGCCTAGAACGCAATGTGTGTCATCATAGCAGGGGCATAAAGGACGAGACGATACGACATCATTTCTGGCACATTACGTTACGATCCTGCACAAGAGTTCCGTCAACACTAAGAGCAAGGACAGGAGGTCATGGTTGCCATGGGTTTGATATCAAGGATTCTGGCGGTGAGTCTTAATCCAGAGCCCTTAACTTTGAGCCCCCAAAGCCAGAACCTCACAACCCATGACCCCCAAAACTCCTAGAACCCCCAGAAAACTCCCAGCTCCCAAGCCCCAACAGCCCTTCTAATTCTGACCTCCGCATCCCGAGGGCCGGACACTTGAAAAACTCAATAAGCCCTCTAGAGCCCTAGTAAGCTAAAAGGGTTCCTTCTTAGAATTATATACATCTTCTACTATAAAGGAGCCCCAAACCCCTAAACCCGAAACGCTAAACCCTAAACCCTAAACCCCTATTCTGATTGTTAAGGCCCCTGTGTTACTCTGCCTTCTGCCGCAGGAGGGAGCTTGGAGCAGCAGATCTTCGGCTTCGATGAGAGGGGAGAGCCCGAGTCCTGTGCCGTGTCATGGCTTTCAAGGGGGTTTAGCGTCTAGGGTTTAGGGTTTAGGGTTTAGGTTTAAAGACTTTGGGTTTAGGGTTTGGGGGGTTTAAAGATACATGGGATTTTCCGAAAATAAAGGGGGGCCTTATTTTGGGGTCCAGATAGTAAGGATCCTACTGTTTAGGGTAGTATATTAG